AGGTCCCCTGCGCCGCTGCCATCAGGGCTGCCTGCTGCTGCATGATCTTAAGGAAATAAAGGGGGGGAAAGGGGGAAATGGAGCGAGAGGCAGAGAGACAAGGGGGGGAGAGGGGAGGATAAACTAGCATCTCCCCTCTGCACCCGCGCATGGGGGCTCGGAGGGATAAATGCCACCCGCTGCCAGACCCGGCGACAGGAGGAGGTCTGTGTGATGCTGAAAAAGGTGATATATGGGGCCGCTGTGCCCTACAGCCACGCCACCCTCACTTGGGGGGACTGAAACCCTCTGTTGTGCCCCAAAACGGAGATACACCAACCCTGTTGGGCATCTGCACCCTCTGGCACTGGTACAATCCCACAAAGGCTTTCACAGGCAAAAACACCCCTCCCCAATGGCAGGGCTCCCCAAAAACCCCCAGGTCCCGGCTGCTGCCAGCTCCTACCGCTTGCGTATAGGCCCCGTAGGCGCCAAACTGGATGGTCATGGGGTTGAAGATGCCCAGCTGCCCCGCCATCTGATGCATCCGTCGCAGGGTCCTCTCCTTATCCGTGTCCGCAAACTTCACCACCAGGCTGGAGGAGGCACCCTGAGACGGGGGGAAGATGGGGCTGACGGTGGGGTCCCAGCCGTGCCCGTAAAAACGTCTCCTTGCTCCGGGGAGGGACCCGCTGGCTCGCAAGCAGCTGCAGCATCCTCAGCCCCGGCGATACTGCCCGGCTTGGCAGCAGCAACCAGCAATCGATGCGAGGTTTAATTATAGCCGGCTTTTCTCCCCCGGCGGCGGCTCCCTGACCTCTGTTTCCTTTCCCCCCCCACTCCTCGTTCACAATTTTGACCTTCGGCGTTAATTAAACAGCCCCTTTCTCCAGCGCAGAGGGAATTAGCTCCGCGCGCCCACCCCCGGGGGGCTCAGCACCCAGGCAGGGACGAACCTCACAGTGATCTGGCCGACAAATTGCCGGTCCGTGGGATTTTGATCCAATTAGACAGAGGATCAAATTAGGCGGTGATTGGATTATGCAGGCAGCATGGGGCCGAACGGGGCAGGGCAAGAGGCAGGCACTTACCGGCATGGTTTGGCTGCCGTGCAGGCTGTTGATGGCAGCCTGCGCCTCGGCGTGGCTGCCGTATTTCACAAAGGCACAACCTAAGGGCAGAGAGGGGACAAGGGAGGGGACAGATTCAGCCACTGCAGGAGCCAGCGCTGCCCGGCCGGCGGCTCCCGCCCTCCGTGGGTCCTGGCGGCCCGTGGGGTGCTCACTCGGCTCCCCAAAGCCCACCTTTGCTGGCTCCATCGGGCCCTCGGAGGATGGTGCACTCCTCGATCTGGCCGAAGGGTTCAAAGAGGCGCCGGACGTCGTCCTCGCTCTGCTGCTTCCCCAGCATGCCCACAAAGAGCTTCCTGTCTTCTAAAAACAAAACCGAGCCCCTCAGAGAACAGGATGCCACTCATCCCCCCCGTCCCCTCATCCCTGGTTCACAAACAGTGTGCGGAGGGGAAAGAGCCGAGCGACACCGCAGCCCGGGGAGGGAGCGACGCCGATCCGGCGGCAAAGACACAAGGTTTATCACCTCCATCCTACAAAATGCTCGGATTGGGAAAAACCTCTCCTGCAAGGAAATCACCTAGGGGTGAAGCCGGGAGAGCTGGCTCCCACTTCAAGGACCAGAGCTGGGGCTTTTCCCAGGGATGGAGGAGCCGGCTCCCCTGGCATCGATGTGGGATTCAGCTGGGAAACAAAGAGAGCCCACGAGCCCGCAAAACAGCGGCGATTGGCTTCATATGATTGGCTCGCAGAATAACCCACAGCCTCCGGCCATGCCCAGGGGACATAAATAACCCAAACACGAGGGAAGAGAGAGTAAATAATGAGAATCTCATGATTATTACCAGCATCTGTCTTGCGCAGCCACGCGCTCCCACCGTGCGCTAATGGCATTTGACAAAGAAAATAAGGTACCCTGTCAAGAGCGTTGCCGGGGAAATAAATAAATAATGGCAGGAGACGATTAATGCTCTGTCCGTTAAGGTACCGGGAAAATTAGTTAAGGGAATAGGGCTCGTGTGTTGTCTAGTTAAACATAAACCATCTCCCGGCGAAGGCGGCCGGGGGGAACGGGCTTGGTGGCCGAGCAACGCCTCCTGGGCGAGGGGGACGGAGCCGGGCGCCTGAGCTCGCCCATCGATTTTTAATCCTTCACCAATTACGCTCGGTAAGTGGGTAATTTATTTGCTGGGTCCCTCCGGGACGTGCCAGCACCAGCTTGCACCATGTTTAATAACGTGTTTTGAATAGGGGGATGTCTACCCCGGCCATCCCGCCGAGGGCAGGTGGCCCCATGCGAGCGTCCGACTGCGCCTACGTGCCCAGAGCTCACTAGTGGCACTGGGAACATCGTGGGGGTTTTGATCTGATTCGTGCAATTTTGCCCAAATTATCGACTAAGCCTGGAAACGTCCATGGAGAATGTGGGGAGGGTCAGCGGTTTCTGTCTGGGAGTGGGAGGGGGCTCAGGCCACGCGTGGCCAAGTCCTGCACCCGGACTCTGCTGGAGGCCCCCCCGCAAGCAGCTCTGGGCGGGCAATTAGGTTGATTGATAGACGAAAGAGCTGAGGGAGAGCAGCTGGCTGGCAGTCTGCCCGATATGATGTCAGGACGTTCATGGTATGACATCAAGATGTTCGTGTATGACATCGGGACGTTCTTGGTATGATGTCAGGGTGTTGCCGGCATGACATCAGGATGGTCCCCCCAGCCAACCAGGCGGGGAGAGACGGGATCATGTTTGCTCTGTGCTCTGGTTTGGATGTCACCAGCAAAGGCAGCTCCTTCCACGAGGTTCTCCGCAAACAAACCTCCCCGCAGCAGCCCCTGTGATGCCGCTATGTCCCCTGTCACCCCCCCAGGTGGCCCTGTGCCCCCCTGCCCGCGCGGGGCAACCGGGAAAGGGGGGACATACCTCCTCGGCCCTCGCTGTCGGCCGGTTTCACCTGGATGGGACGGTTCATCTGCAAGACACAAGCGGGAGTGGGTGGTCAGTGGCAGTGCCGTGTTCCCCCCAAACTCTCTCCACGGGGCACAGCAAGATTTGGCCCCAGGCTGGCACAGGGGAAGGGGACAGGGAAGGACCTGCATGAACAGAACCCGGGCTCGCAGCCACACCGAACTGGGGATGCCACGGGCAGAGGGCGATGCTACGGCCCCGGGGACGGGTACCCGGTGCCGCAGGCACC